ATTCAGCTTTATATATAAGATTATTGGATTTTATAATAGAAATTGATTATCTTGGTCGATTTCATTAATTTTTTGCTATTGGGTTAACGAGGTGTTGGCGTAAGGGGTAAATGAGCATGCTGTTCACGAACCATAGTAGGGGAGGGAGAGCATATGAGGTAGAGCAGGGTGGGGAATATACAAAACTAGAGAATGGTGTATTCTATTCTACTATGAAGCATAGTGTATTGACAGACCAGCCAGGTATGCCAGCTGTGAACCTTTAGTACTTTCCGATCATAGTGCCTGCCGGCAAGCAGATCGAGGAAGAGCAGGTCGGGCGTTACATGGGGCCATGGGTGGATTTGCGCAGGATCGACATGAATTACTCTGCTATCGTGACGCATTGTCGCCTTCAGCGTCCGCCGATATATGCATTAAGGAAACTATCGGGAGTGGAACTCAATATGCTTTTGCAACAAAGCTACTCTGATAAATATACAGTGAAATGCTTTGGACCTTTATTGCGGAAATAGCTCAAAGGGAGAAGATTGGCCTTGCACTTGTCGCTGTAGAATCCTTTAGACTATAATAGGAACAATTACTTGACAAATTTGATTGAATTTTTTTAAATAATCGAACACGAAAATTAAACGTACTCATGCGGTATTGGAAAGTGGTCTCAACCTCCCAAACTCTGCTGTATGTAATAATAGGTACCATGCTACCCTCAGATCTGTAGATCTGACCCGCATAGGCAGGAGAGCACAATCTAGTGAGACGAACAATTAGCACGAGAATTGATCATAAATCTGTGTCTACCTGAATCCGGTCAAGCGTTGATCTCTCTGCATTTTAAATTCAACACCCGCCCAATAGCATCCATCAGTTGCAAGGCCATCCGTAAAGTTTCCAAACTGAATCTCAACTCTTCTTCCTCTTGTAGCCTTAACATGCAATATGATAGGGAAGAACGAGAAAATGCAATATGTGTTTGAGACCTGTATCCAGTAATGACATTTCACAAATTCATCATTTGCTACTTCGGTTACTGCAGGGTCGCCAACAACATCCACAAACTGCTGTTTGTGGGATGTAGCATAGAGAATTTTTCCGCATCCTTTTGGCTGAAATATTAACCACACATGGAGTGCCTATTTACAACATACAAAAACTTACCCTTTCGTTGCAGTACCTGCCTCCATATCCTCCTGGACAAATACACTTGGAGCAGTCGCGAGGATTTGGGAAACCGCCCATATAGCACCTCACCGTCGAATGACTGTGCTTGCATTTATCTATATCGGAATGCTTGCGACATCATCGAATCATTGTATAGGGGTGTGGGAAAATAATATCTAAATTTCAGGTTTCCTATGCAGTCATCAAGTAGCCATGTAATCATCGGTCGTATATATAGCACTACTCAATAAAATACCTTGATTTTACCTTTTACCTTTCACTTTGATTGCTTCTCCTTTTTGTCACTTCTGAAAACTAGCAAGACTTTTTAAACATTTCCCCAAATCGCGCTGTGATGCCGCAAGGTTCTCGACCAATAGTTAAAACATTCAAAAATGCTTCTTAATCGCAGTAACTGCTTTAATGCGCTTTAAATGTCTATCTTTGTAGCAAAAAGGCAACCTACATAAAAAGATCATATTTAGGAGCAAAGACATGGAGTTAATCGATAATTTTTCAGAGAGGTCGAGGTATTTGCATACTTACAGTCGGAGAATAAGGATTGGGTGTGCGGAAAAGTTAGACCCACCCTCAGTGTAAACACGATATTTCGGTGACCCAGTTATTGCAGTTTAAGTTTCATAGCGCAGGTTGTGTTGAGAGTTTATAAATGGTTGAAGGAAACGATTTGCGTTATCACAATATCTAGTTATGGAAAAGTTACTACGCTACATGGAATTATAAAAGATTTGGTAGAGAAAGCCTTATCATGTGCTAAAATTGAAACATATACTCAGTCTTTTGTTCGAAAAAAGTGGATTCTCTGAGTGTACTGTTAAAAACGCTCGTTCACCCTGGCACATCTGCCACAACCTGACCTACCTAGGCACTTGTAATGAATGTTCATCATCAGCAGTTCATAGAAGGAAGTAAATGGTGACCCCATCGTGTCAATGTATTTTTCGTTGAAAGGCACCATGGTATCATATCCATTTGTTGAGAAGCTAAATAAAGTTAAAACATTATAATCCAATTACTTTTCACCTCATACCTCTTAGATCCATAATGCATTATACTACCGTAGTCGTAAGGAAGGCCGTAATTATAGTTTGTTTTTCTGGTCTCCCTTTGGAATTGGTCAAGCATTGCGGACTAAACCAGAATTTTTTTCGTTTTAACAAAAATTCAAGACACTCAAAAACCTGGATATTTCTAGTGTCAATTTGAATGTATCGATCACGATCGTGTCTTGAATGCGTGTGGAACATACCCAAAGCGTGGCCTATCTCGTGTGCAGCAGTGCCTATCTGAAATCGAGTGTTTGAGTCAGACTGAAACATCGACAGTTTCAGTAGTCTCAGTAGTTTTGTGCACTTACCGTCTCACATCCTTCGCCTAAGGAAAGTGATTGCACTTCGTGTATATTGCCTATATACGACCAGCAACCCTCTTCAATTATCACTTCAATGCGTTCTTTTGCTGCAAAATTTCGTCTGATTCTCCATATTTCTACGTTTTTCATAATTCTCACCTTTAGGCTTCTCAAAAAAGTTAAGACATGTATAATTCTGCCACTCCAATGCTCCTTTCTTGAATAATTCTTGTACTTTGCGACCTGAATGTAACTTATTACAGCAACATGTGCTGTAAAGTCAGACTTAGAAGCCGGAGATCGTATCACTTTGATAAGCCATCCTTTACATCGGTTTTAATACTCCTATCGGAAGTTGTCGAGAATCGGCATGGTGCGCGTTGCATTGCATTTGTTTCACACTACGTTGAAGTGCAAAAAGTTAATCTTCTGTTCCATCGGCAGGCTTCTGCGCTCTTGTGCAGTGCACATCCTAGCAAAACAAACGTGCAGTCTGAGGCCAAATGTTGTATTGGTCCTTTGGACGGGTGTACGTTAGCATCACTGTTTTTTAGGCGCCGCACAAACGGTCTGCCTAAAACGCTCTCGGCATAAACCGTGGAAGGGGGAGGGGTTGTAACTGGACGCCAATAATATGGGGCAGAAGGGTGAGCAAGTTCACATCACTTAATACCGCGTACTGCTTGCCTTTCCTAAGACCAAAATCGGGTACACTTCTGCACTGCATAGGACGTCGAACCACCGTTTCGGTCTAATTCCGACTGTGTCATCGTAGAATTTGTTGGTTAGATCGTAGAGATACCTTCAAAGAATAGGCAAAATCTCATTGGCAGATAATGAAGGAGTGAAACATGTGCATTCATGCATCACAATCACAAGCATACCATCGATA